ATTGGAGGAGGATGAAGCAGCGGTCGCTCTTTTTTGCATCTTCTTCTTCTTCTTCCGTTTCTTGACCGTTACTTCGGTCGTCCGGTGCCTAATATTTTCTTCCATTCTTCTCTATTTTCCCATCCAGGAAAATTATTCTCCTTGACGACAGAGTCCGTAAGCATTGGCTTTGGACATCCCTGATGTATTCCATACCAGTAGGGATGTCGCAGTAAGACAATTTTAGGCTCTTCTTGTTTCCACAGTCACGTTGCAACAATTCTGAAAACCTACAATTTCGGGGAAGCTGGTATCACAGCGTCGTAACTTTGTGATTTACCGATGTAATGGAGCTATTGGACGCGCTCACTCTGTCTTTTGTTTTTCACCCTGCTGTTCACGTAAAAATAACCCTGAGATCGCATTCCCCCCCCCCTGACTCGTCTCTTCCCTTCCTGGCTAACAAACACACCCTCACCGTAACACTGCAAATACAAGGCATGGCAATTCGTGTTCTTTTTGGGGTCAACACGGATTCCCAACTACAGTGCTTGGAATCCTCAGCGTGTGTAGTCACTTGTAATGCGTCATGCTTTATCCCTTGTCCCTTTCAGACCTTGAGGTCAGGACATTATTTAAAGGTCGTCCATCAGAATACGCTAGTCTGGTCCATTTAAATAATTCGGAAGTATAACGTAAAGTTAAAGTTATGTCACTCAACGAAGCCAAATGCCATGAAGTCGTATGGAGGACTGGGCGTATAACTCCACACATTAACTTCGGTACTAGATGGGGTGACAGTTAGCTTCACGCCCCGGTCGCTTTACCTCCGAGTAAAGAACATAACTGCCCACTGAACAGGAAGCTGGGTAGGACCCAGAACCGATCTGTAGGTTGTGACAAAAGGTAATTCTAGATACGTAAATTGGTGGTCTTGCATCTGACCCTCGAAAAGTTCTTTCGCTTCTTAACACTGGACGTAGAACCCTGAGACTCAGATACCCTTTCCTCCTGCTTTAATAAGGCGACAGCCGGACAGACAATGGACAATGTCCAAAAATATTTCCAATGCAATGCTGAACAATTATCACAGACCTTACAAGCAGAGAATCAACATCGCTGGAAATGTTGTTGAGTTGTGTCTTTGATTTGATACTAAAACCTAAAGAGAATACAAGGGGGTTAATCACGTGACGCTCCTGTCCTCTCGACACTTCACATAATTGGGGGCTTTCCAAGAAAATACGACTCCGTACATCGGAACGGTCGAGACAGTTTTTTAACGTCACGAAAGTTGAAAATCAACTTCATTTATCTCAGAACGCGAACTTGAAAGAACAAACATGAGAAATGTGGAAACAATGAGCCGAAGCTGTGAGGAAATGGGACGTCGCTGAGGAAGAATAATGAGGATAAAGATGTCAACAAAGAGAACGGTAGAAGTGACGAAGGCAAGACTCAAAATCCATTTGTCCTCATCTCCGTTCACAAGTACTTATTTTTTCTCCCTTCCTTCACACATTTATCTCTCAAACAATATCTTTCGTGTTCCTTCAAAAGATTAACATAACTGTAAAGCTCTATTCAGTAAGAACCTTTCGGCACAATTTATGATAAGTATTTTATAGATGATTGTTTATCTTAATTTGGCCTGGGCTGTCTTGATTCGATTCCCGACACGAAGTCCAGCCTGCCTCCTATCCGATGGGTACCGGGGACCCTTTCCTCTGAGGGTAAAGTAGCCGAAGCGTGAAGCTTAACACAAATACGGCTAGCTCCGATGTAAAGAGCGAGTAGATAATCTTCACTCATAACGACACAGTACTTAATTAAGCACAGGGAAAACTATACCATTATGTCTGGCTTTGTTTGCAGAAATCTTCTGAACTTGTAAAGTTCTCAGCTGGGGAAATTAATACAGTGTTTAAATTATTAAATTACGGTGTCAAATAATGACAACTAGGGTCTGTCATAGCATATGTAACAACTCGCCTTGCAGGTTATCTAAACACGTAATATGGCACTGTCCCCTGACACAAGCAACCTCAGTCCTTAACCTCGACACTATACAAAGGTGTGCAGTCAGCTTCACGTTCCGTTCGCTTTACCCCGGAAGAATAACCTCTTATGCTCATTTGATAGGATGCTGGGTGGGCCAGAAAAATACTGTCCTGTTAAGAATACATTCCAGTTCGTCCAGTATGCGTTATGGTCACTATACCAGACCAAGGACATTAATCAGGCTTTTTAATGCTTTGTATCTTACGGTAACCGGGGCAGTTGGTGTTCTTCATTAAAGGTGTACGCACTACAATTCAAATTACACGTGTTAGGGTTAAATGCAGGCTCAGGATTTAAAAAAATAGTAAACTGGTTTTACAAAGTAATTAAGGTGTTTAGATTCTGAATTTTAATCCACACACACAAATCCTGTTTCATCACTGTCGATTTTTAAATACCAACCGAGACTCCAGTAACCTGTTACATC